ATCTAAAACGCTTATGTTTGTTTTTCAAACATCGTTTCGGGCCCTTTACAGGTCACGGCTGACTGAGATGGTTAAGCCATCAACTTGTCACGTCTGATATTAAACTAATCCATCCTATTTTTCACGATATTCACAAAAGTTATCAATTAAATACCTTATTTTTTAACTTTCCAAAGAACATTCCAATTTACGCTACATTATGTTTTACAAATAAAATAATTATTAATAATATTGGCAATTAATTAGATCCAAAAAAAAAGTTTCATTTCCTACATGTAACTCTAAATAAGTACTTTGGATAAATCAACATCGCATGCAAACGACATCAAAAGGTCTATCCACACATATCCGGGACGTGCCTGGGACGTGGACGGGCCGTGATCCGTCACTGGCTTAAAAAATATCGTTGCGTATATTTTATAATAACTAAAATTTTTAAATAACTCGTTCACAATGTCCGTGGACGGGCCCGCAGTTCATACAAACTAGCACGCCCCTTCCACGTTCCGAGCACGGCCCTGATGTGTGTGGTTAGTCCTTAAGTCCGCACAGAAAACGGAGAAAAATTTAAAATAAATATTTTATTGATCTATTTCTACTCGTAATAGGAGCAACAATCACGATAGTAAAGCATTTGCGATGTATGCCATCGCTATGATAAGAAGAAGAGTAATAAATAATTACTAAGTACATTTTATATGCGATGAACTCTGATTATTTGATTCTTGACTAAGTTACAATTCATTTAAAATGCAATGTATACGCTTCTTTAATAAGATTCCGGTTTTCCATATCCATGGAAAATCCATGGTTCACAGTCGTTTACAATCCATTGGCTGATATAGGTTTTTTCGATGTACATATGTTAAAATAAATACTGTTAGATATGAACGCAAACTCCTGATGCTATATTAATAGCAATGTTGCGTTACTGCAATATTGCACGTTTTTTTCTATACATTACTCATTTAATTTTCTGTCAATGTTTGTTCAGTTATACATTAAATATATTTGTAATAATAATATTGTTTTCGTCCCATTTCAACAAATACTACAAATAATAAATTTGTACAAATGTTACTCATTCTTCTCAGGGGAATATGTCTGTCAATCAATGTGACCACATCTTTAAATTTCCACTTTGAAAATGATCTTTGTTAATTCTTTTGATTTAAAGCTTCTTAATAGTTGATTTGAAGTTGTTTGGTTTTATAGATACAGTTGTTTTCTGGTTTTATTAATATCTGCGTTTATTTAAGTAAATTAAACACCTTATCTACGATAGATTTAATATATCGCTTCTGTAGTCTGTGCTTTTCGAAGACAGTGTAGAATGCCGTTTGCAGGGTTACCAGTTTTCATAAAATTTAAATAGTCATGTATTGTTGTCGACAGTTTTATCGATAAATTGTAAAAGAAGGAAAAATTTTGCGATGATTATATTGGTGTTTCAAAATTGAGTTCAGAGTCCATCTCATATTGTCGGCATTACAAACGTGCACTAATGGTGGTATACACTTATTTGAGACTACAGATATTCTGTTGGCCACATTTAATTTAAAAAATAATAACTTAGTTAAAAAAGCCGTCTACCAAGCAAGCCATGGTGGTAATGGCAGCTAAGTAAATTTATGAAAGCTCATTTAACATTGGTTAGTTAAAATAACCGTTAAATAAATAGTTTAAATAAACCGCTAAACAAACCTGAATATAATTATTAATACAAAAATCGAACACAGAAATATTTCTTCGACCCGATGGGACTTAAACCCATGACCACGCTATGCCGTAGTGTACAGCGTGCCCCTCTAACCATTTGAGCTACAGGTCAAGTTATGAAGTTGTCGAATGTGCTTTTGTTAAAGATCTTTGTTCTTTATTTTTCGGCATTCTGCGCTCCTAGTGACATCTAGTGAGAGATTTTAGAACTTTCTTCACCGCAGTCGGTACCTTTACAGATGCCTCGAGCTGACGTTGATGTCAAATAAGTCCAATCTCCGATCCTAAAAACTTACTACAAGGTACCTTTTCTAGTGGCCAAATTTCTATTATGGTTCCCACTTTAAAGTACAATTAACTACAAAATATGGAAGAAATGCATGAAAAGCCCATTATCCAATCTTCTTGAAATTCAGTATATATGTATCTCTTATACGACACTGAGACTCGGGGCAAAAAGTGAAAATCACACCTTTGGAAAAAGAAAACAGCCTATAGAAGAGTTATGTCACATTAAATCTCCATAATACATAAGTCCGAATCATTGAGTATATAACCAGAAATAGAGACGAAATAAGGGCCATCCAATCCTGGCAACTCCTCAGGTAAATGGGCCTTAAATAACTTTTAATTATCAATTCTCGTTTGCGCTGAAATCATAAATTTGAAAACTGAAATAGTACAGCGCCAACAACTGACCTGTGTGTACGTCTCCGTATATTCCAAATATATTCTGTATTTATTTTAATAAAGATAATATCTCAAACAATGGGGGCTGTTCCATTCGGTGGTGTGGGAAAACAGCAAAACATCTAATTACAGAACGAAAGGAATCACATTTCATCGGTAATTAAATATTAAAAATATAATTTTGCAATTTTCGTCCATTATAGCAAAGCTCAAGTTAACTGGTCGATTTGAAGTGAAACAAAATTGACGACACCCGTCAATTGTTTCGAATTCGGGCTGGCCAATCGGAGCGCAGTTGTCACAGTAATGTTTTGGCAGAATAGTTTTCAAACAAATTAAATTACATTTCGTCTCTATTTGTGGTTATATCAAGAACACGAAGAACAGATCAAGATAGCTTCTATTATTAACTCGCATATTAATCATTAGTCGGTTTAAATTTCATACTGTGTGTATTATTCGCAAATGAACAAGAAGCAACGTAAGTTTTTAAGGGCGTTGCATTAACCAATGTCAAATGATCCCCCAAACAGTGTAAACTAAACTACGGTGCTAATAAAACGTTAGTTTTAAGTCTACTTTTTTCCTGCGATGTAGTTGCCTGCTTCGTCTTTATACAGGTCTTCGTTGACTGAGTAATAGGCTGGCGCGTTTGGACAGTCCACCTAGAAAACAAAACAATACAAAGGTTATAAGAAAATACAAGACAAACTCAACCCGTTCATAGTCAATACATAACTAGACATCTTCATGGTGTTCCTCTCCTATTGGAGGTTAGACAAAATCATGGTAATCCTGACTTTGGAGACTGCCGCTTTAAATAGCGAGGTGGTACTGCAACCGAACCATTCCCTCAAAATTTTCAACCAGGAGGGCCACCTTCTACCAACACTTAGGGTCGTATTCTAGAACTCTACTCAATGCTCAAGTCAGGATTTGAGTATGGTTTAAAGCACTCGAAATCATACTCAAGTCCCTGCCATTAGGGTCGTATTTCCAGTGCAATCCTGACTTGAGCATTGAGTAGAGTTCGAGAATACGATCCTAAGTCTAGTAGCAGTAGAGCTCCTTGTGAAAGAGTTCGTCCCGGGAAGTACTGCCACCTTACCTATTTCTGCCACCAAGCAGTAATATCAGCATTGCTGTATTTCGGTTTTGAAGGGTGCTGGTGAAATTACAGGGACATGGGACTTGTCAACTTATGACTCATGGTGATAGTGCTCCTGAGATCTTTGCTATTTAAGGCTCTGAGTGTCACTGAAAATGTTATGGACATGTGTGTAGCTTACATCAGGCACTTGACACAGTGAGTTTGGCTTGGATGATAAGCTGGAGTAATTTATTTTACGCACTACATCCGATTCGTATCAGTTCTGACTCCGAGAAATGACGGTCGTATTTTTTCGGATTCAAAGTGGACTTAGTGCACACGCGACATCCGAAGTGTGAAGTTAATATATCGAGTGTATATCAAATAGAGACGAAATGTCGTTTAATTTGTTTGAAAACTATTCTGCCGTATCATTTCTGTGACAACTGCGCTCCGATTGGGTAGCCCGAGTTCGAAACAATTGACGGGTGTCGTCAATTGTTTCAGTTGAAATCGACTAGTTAGCTTTGCTATAATGGACGAAAATTGCAAAATTACATATTTAATATTTAATTACCGGTGAAATTTGATTCCGTTTGTTTTGCTGTTTCTCCCCACAACATCGAATTGAACAGCACGCTATTGTTAGAGATATTATCTTTATCACAATAAATATAATATATTTTTGGAATATACAGAGACGCTGTACTATTTCAGCTTTCTAATTTGTAATTTCAATGCAAACGAGAGTTGATATTTATAAGTGATGTATCAGTGATGAATTACCAGGAATGTATGACCCTCATTTCGTCTCTATTTTTGGTTATATACTCAATGATTTGATATTACGTGATGTAACTTAATGTGGACCTGCCTATAAATTCTGTTTTTGGCTGTTAGACGTCGCTCAATGTTAAGAAACCAAGAAACTGACCGTTGTGGATATCCATCTAGGTTACATACTAATTAGTGATTTGAGTTTCCAGACCTAAACAGGTCTTTAACTCGAAAAACCCAATAGATTATTTAATTCGATCTTGTAATTATGACATTTGAACACGCTTATAGTTCTTCATGACGTGGTCGAAGTAGAGACAGGTTTTTATCCGATAAATATCCGTTTTTACTGACTATTTATCCTAAAACATGGATAATTATTTTTTTGTGTTTTTTTATAATAAAACTCCGTAGAATCCATTTTTTATTAAATAATTACGTTTTTGCCATTCTTTTATGTAACAATACTGTTTTACCTACGTTTTTCGAGTCGAGTGGTATAAAAAATTCGATTGACAGAAAGTTATCAAATTAACTTGCAACCCTTGAGCTGACCTCTCCTGCTTTCGTAAAGTGCGATCCAACTTCATGGTCTTAGGGTCTACTGCGTTATAAATAAAGTCATGTTTGGACTTGAAATAGGCTAAGGATTCTCTTTCACATTTCACACACAAAATCTATTAATTAAAACACATGATACAAAAAACAAATATTTATAATTGTGTAGGTACACAAAGTGTTTTAAAAATATACTTTGTTTTACTAAATATAAATAAGAAACCGCGATTCAAAATATTTATCCTCGCTTTTGGATAAATATCGAGTAAAAATGGATATTTACCCTGAGTATTTATCCCGATGACAATTATCCATGACCCATCTCTAGGCCGAAGTACGACATCTTCATGCGCTTAATGGTGTTCATAAGCTACACTTTTCTTTTTCATAAATATGTAGTACCGCACTCCAGAAGCATTTCCCTTCTTCATACCGTAATGCTGATATTCATTCAATATAATAATTACTGTATGTCACTGATGACGGCCGACCCGGTCAACATTGTTGTATAAAAGAAAATACGGCTATGATATTGTAGGACGATTACCGTTGAGTCATACTGAATTACTAATAATTTTGCTTATAATAATAATAATAAAATTTTATTTATTGAGACAACTGAGATCCAATCAAATGTTAGTAGGTACAGACTTAAAACTATATTAGTACTTATATTTTATCAGGGATTGTGTTATGTATTAAGTGCCGCATAATTGGGCACTCATTCCTGTCAGCAACTGTCTTCAGGAGGCTATTGGTGCTGTCACGTATTCTCTTTAGTAGCGACGCCGACTTTTTACGTACAACAGCCGTAAAACTATCTATGCGCGCGTCAATGAACATGGCTGAGGCACTGCAGAAACGTGACAGCCCCAACAGCGTCCTGAAGGCGTTGTTGTATTGCACGCACAGAGCATTCCGAGAGCACTGAGTGTAACTCTTGCTGCCGTACATCTGGCGAACCTGCGGGCAAGCATCTTTGCTCTCAACGAGAGTGCTCTCCGTTCGCGCTGTATAGTGTATATCCAGGTAATCCTTGAGGTCGTCGGTAACATAGTGTCCTAAGTATTTAAAGTGGCTAACCCTTTTTAACGGAGAACCATTAAGCAGTACAGTACTTATATCGACATAGAAACTGAGAATAAAAAGTTAACATTCGGTTATCGGAAAGTGCGCTAAAGCGGATTCATCCCCTAGTTTGTCACCCTTAGAAGTGGAATATTTCCTTCAAATTTAAATGGGACCAATACTGAGATACCCTCTTTCTAACAAAAAAAAAAGAATCATCAATGCCGGAATAATTGAGTACCATACACACAAAACAATACAGTCGAATTGAAAACCTTCTCCTTTTTGAAGTCGGTTAAAACCATGTGCGTTTTAGAGAAAAAAATCATTTTGCTGTTAGAAAGTTCAATGTCCCTAACATGTACATACTTGTATCACCTCACACCATCACATTGGTGTGCACAGTACTGTCTTGAAGTAACATGCATAAATGTGTGCGTGTAAAACATTGAATTTGTCAGTACGTTGTTGGTACTTCTCTACAGAGAAACAGCCCTTGAAAATCCCACTGTAAAGCCTGTAGTTAGTTTTTTGAGACCTATATAGCAAAAGGTAGTACCCCGTAATCATATTCCGATATTTTATTTTACTATAAAGGCCGTTACTGTTCTTAAATAAGTAATATCTGACATCTGATATGCTTACCTTGAAAAACCAGTCACAAACCCTCAACCTCTGGTTGAATACGGTCCCTGGACCGCAGACGAATGAGTACATTATGTTTCCACCAATACTTGGCACACACCAGTGCCATACCTGTAAATATCAAATGTTAAAAATATACATTACAAATTCCTAAACAATAAAACGCCTGTCTCATTTTTAAACGCTATGATTTATCTTTATGCTTATAAAAACATTGCTCATTTATTTTAATAGGCGCTCATTAATATCTTTATAACTTTTTTACAAATTTAACAATTGCTAGAATGACATTTAAGAAGCTTTATAGCTGTTTCGCTTCCTGTGATGTCTGCCTGTCCATGACTGATACAATTAATCGAATTAAATAAGTATTAAGAATAGATAAATAGATAAAAATCTTTATGTATATGCCTCTATACTTATTTTTCCTGGGGAAAAAGCAGGTGTATTGGATTTCAAACATTTTCTGTTAACCGTTTTCAATTAAACTAGGTAAATAGATGTTATTCCACAAACTTTCGAAGTCGGTTTATTTTTTCATAAACAAGATATAATGTGTAATTTTAGGTATATGTTTACTTCGTTGTTATTCATTTGCATTATACTTTTAATTATACTTTGTGTGTATTTCTATGACGTGGTCTCATGTTTATTACTAAAAAGAAAAACAAATTAAGCAAAAAAAATACGGTCCAGTTGTTGAAATTATTGATGTTAGTTATATACTTTTTATTGCGAAAAGGCAAAAAGATGTTTAGACCATGCAACCAAGTCTTTTTTTTATATTTTTTAAATTTATACATGGTAACCATAGTAACTTTTTTATTCATATATTATTATCATCGAGTATATAACTAGAAATAGAAACGAAATAAGGGCCATATATTTCTGGTTACTCATCAATGATACATCACTTATAAATATCAACTCTTGTGTGCACTGAAGTATAGACTGCGCTAACAACTGACCTGTGTGTTCCAAAAATATTATGTATTTATTGTAATAAATATAATACTTCTAACAATGGCGTGCTGTTCCATTCGGCAGTGTGGGGAAAAACAGCAAAAAATCTAATTACAAAACAAACGGAATCACATTTCTTCGGTAATTAAATATTAAATATGTAATTTTCGTCCATTATAGCAAAAGTTAACTGGTAGATTTGAAGTGAAACAATTGACGACACCCAATGACGACTCTCGTCCATTGTTTCGAATTCCGGCTGGCCAATCGGAGCGCAGTTGTCACAGTAATGATATGGCAGAATAGTTTTCAAACAAATTAAATGACATTTCGTCTCTACTTCTGGTTATATACTCGATGATTATTATTTATACTCTGTTATTGTGTAGTCAGAGCACTCTGTTGCTTATTAATCTATGATATTGAAGTGTTGTGTCTTCACCGCACATCAGTGAAACGCAGCGTGTGTACAGCTGCAATTTATCAAACTACTGTAATTTCTAGTGATAACAAATCAACTAGATGGCGCTTATTGGACAGATTTTTTTATGGGTAGTCCCGGCTATTCTTTTATTGTTTTGGATTAGCGCCATCTACCCATATTAGGAAGCGTTAATTTAAAAAGTCTCATAAGCGTGAAATTATGTCAGATTCGATAAAATCCCAGCTTGCTTGGGATTTAATCTAGCCCATCTCTGCACCTTCCGTGTGAAAATCAAACAGTTTAAATAAGCAACAAACCTGGCACATTGTTTCCGGGTCAGCATAGTACCCGGGTATCTTATCATCACAGGTGAACGATAGACCTTTTGGCACCTCAGTGTATGTTGGGTAATCTTGACCGGGTTCATAGCCATCCACTTGCTGAAAAAAAGATGTATTTTAACAATTAATGATTGATTGATTGAATTAATAAGCTGTTCTAGAGTGAAGAATACAATAATACGTGAAAGATGTGACTTGAAAGTGAATGTAGTGACCAGAATAGAGAAAGGAATGTTGAGGTGGTTTGGGAACGTATAGCGGATGGATGTAAGAAGAATTACCAAACAAATTTATAACGCGAATGTGGATGGAAGGGCCTTTAAGAGGACGTCCTTGAAGGACTTAAATTAACCAAATGAGCGATGTCCTCAAAAACGCTGGGATCCGAAGTGACACGATTAAAAAAGTTGTATAAAAAAGGTAGTCTAGTAGTAGAGGCTTGAGAGTTGTGTCAGCATAGACTAAAGTGGCGTTCCGTGGTGACTGCATGGTCTCCGTGGGATCTATATGCATGTTTTTGACAGTCGTCATCACAAAGTCCCAAATTCATTCAAGATCAATGTATACGCTCGTATAATAAGATTCTGGTTGACATTCAAAATTTGCCATTTACGAGGTTTAAGAATTGTGAAACAAGCTTTAATACTAAAGGTAAATAGCACGGACTTGTATATTAAACTGGACCTCGTACTAACTTGTGACGGTGTGGCCTCCTTACATCGTCACCTTTTTATCGTCTTTCTCCGGTTCCTGGCCACTCGTATTTAAATTTAGACTTTGAATTGTACCATAGTTCTTTTGCCTCGCATTCTGATTTTGTTTCGTTTCACCGTCACTCCCTGCTCGATCGCGACAGTGTAAGACGCTTTTAATATCCATCAAGTTAGGGAGTGTTTTATAATGATGTACCTGTTTTCTGTATATACATTTTACTGTTACAGCCTTACTTCTTTGTTACCTTTTCTTTCCTTAACCGACTTGAAATAAATTTGTGGACCTGAAGTTTTCTATTTTACTGCCGTGAACCTGGTTACGGTTTGTTAGGGTTACAACCCTTTCAAACTTAATAGAGAGAATTCGCTCTGGCCCTTTTGGAGGGAAAAGTGTCGTTTTTATTTTGACTTTCAATTATTTTGTGAAATCTAGTTTAAAGTGGAACAGGATAGTGCTATTGTGCCTTAATCGAAGATTAAAACGCGATATTATGCGAATCTCGAACTAAAATACGCGTATCGGCCCGTTCTAAGGAATCCCGAGTCAATCCAAGCACGCCGCCTCAAATTGCCTATCCTCTTTGTGGCAGCCATATTTACAGAAACATAATTAAACGAAGACATGACTCAAAGGACTTGTATCCAAGCCAAAATTATTAATAAAAAGAAAATAATAAAACGAGCCGAGTGAGAGGCTTCATAGTAGTAATGCGTCTTTTCAATAGGCTAAAAGATGAAGGAACACTCATTCATATTTTAGTCAGCTATATTGTTTTTTACTTTTTAGTTTTTACAGAAAATGTGGCCGCTTATAGATGAGCAAAATTACTAATATTATCTTATAATACAATTTGATATATGCTACCTTAGAATAATAAATAACGCATAGAATGATAGTTTCATATCAAACGAACTGTCACAGGTGAGGCAAAAATCAAATTCATGTAGGCTAGTTTTAGTAGTACGTTAATTTTCGGTTTTAGTGAATATTTATTTAAAATACAAGTTGAAACGCGTTACTTCCTTATGGAATGTGATGTTAGTATTTATTTTATGTTTGTCTGACGTATTTTTACACTCATTTACCGCACTTTTCGTCATTTTTAGCTAAAACTCTGGAGCTGTTCGCGGTGCAAGTTGACCTTGAACACTGAAGGCCCGCCCGCTCGTGTAGGCCCTTTGGGAGTGTTTCAATTTGCCTCACTTAGCGTGTGCGGGCTAGGTTTCTTTGCGTTATTATTCTAAGTATGCTACATCATAATAGAAGGTTTCATTGTTGATATATATATTTTTGTATTATTAGAGTAAAAGCATATTACCTTTAAGCAAATATATATATTCAAAATTTAAAAAGTTAATAGACTAGTTATGACACTACCTAAGATAATAACATTTTATTTAGCGTTGGCAACTTGTTAGACAAGGACAGACCTCTACTTCGAGCTATCTCACATGGCTAGATTTTTTACTTTTACTTAAAATCAACCTTAACTTAACCCAATAAAGTGTAAATTTGTAATATTGGTATATCGACGTGAGCGATCCAGTTTATGAAGTATATAAACCATTGACTTATAAATAAATGGACGACGGGTCTAATACAAAAACCACGAAAAAAATGTCCCAAGTCAACCTATTCGAAATTTAAATTGTTATGTCATCGCAGTATCGCGCTGTCCGTAGAACAAATGACGACTAAAGCGGAGTGTCGCGCTCTGTATACGATTTTAGCGCCTTACAAGTGCGGACACTTTTTAGCGCGGACCCGACGTCCATATAATTGTAAGTCAATGATATAAACGTTTACTTTTTGCAAGTTTCGATATTTAAAATAAACATTGTAAATGGAAAATGTGTACGTACAAATGTTTATTTACAAAGAGTAACCCCTAGAATTTCTTGCTCATTCTTGCTCAGAGGAATCTCGATCTAAAATGTAATTTGCTTACCTATAAAATAAAGATTATTTTGTATTTGAGTTTAAAGAATGAAACCACGAAATTCCTACGTGTTCGCATAAATGATTCAGTACAACAGTAATACAAGTACCAAAAGGTAACAAATAAAAACAAAGTGCATAATCTAACAAATGTCTATGTTTACGTGTGATGGAAAATGTGAAAGAGACTTTGAAAGAAGAGTGAACGCAGGGAATCAGGTGAATGGTGCCTTGCATACCTTCATGGGCAGCCAGAAAGTGTCTAAAAAGGCACGATTGACTGTGCATGGCGGGGTGCTGGTTCCTACACTTATGTATGGTAGTGAATATATATAATATATATACAATTACTGAGTAGGTACCTAAGTCAAGGGGAAAAATGTAAAACAGAATACTTATATTAATGAACCACCTTTATTTCTAGGTAAATTGTTTCTACTATCACAGCTTTTGTTACTGATTATCAGATCCTAGTAAAATATGTGTCAAGTACCCGTAAGACAGATTAATTATCGCATAATGAGAATTAATTTATAATTAACGGTAATTACAGTCGGCTGCTTATCAGATTATTGTCATAATTAAGCAAAATTATGGCAGAATCATTGTCATAATTATACGACAATCGTCAAGTTTGTGTTTTGTTTCTGGCGTTATCTAGTTTTATTTATTTGAGTAGCTGTATGATGGATGATGGTCCTTGTGAAAGAGTCCGTCCAAGGCCGTACTGCCACCTTATCTATTTCTGCCGCCAAGCAGTAATGTAAGCAGGTGCTGGTGAAAATACAGACACAGGGGAGTTGTCAACTTATGTCTCAGAGTGACGGGCGCAGTCTCAGTGCCCCTTTGCTATTTAAATCAGATGAATGACACTGCAACTGTTATGGACAGACGCGTCGCTTACCATCACTTGATATTATAAAAAAACGTTACATGGCATGGATTACAACTAAACCGATTTTGTACAACAGTGTCTAAAATGGAGGCGATGCTTTCACCTCTTAACTAGGTGGTAACCTGTGTCTCAGGTGTTAGAGTTCATCGACGCACAACGTTAAAGAAAAATGTGGTTCGGACAGTGTAGAATGTAAACAGTTATTTTAAATAACAATATAAATGAAAAAAAATCCAACAGGAACTATGGGGATGCTGTATAGAAATGTAGAAGAATAATTAATAATACCTGAAGAGAGCAATGCTCGGAGTTACCCTGCGAGACCGGAAATGCAAAGCTTGGAGCTTGGAAATAGGACCACAGTTAAAGATATCATGGCTGTCGTGGCGAAGAAACGGTGGTTGTGGGCGGGGCATATTGCGAGAATGGACGAGCGGCGCTAGACAAGGCGAACGCTTGAGTGGAGACCTAGAGCGGATATCAGAGGGCACGGCAGACCACCGCAACGCTAGATGCCACTGCCACTGCGCCGACCCCTTAGACATAAGTTGACAAGTTCCATGTATTATTGAAACCAGAAGTGAGCAACACTAAATATTATATTATTATCTTTTTACAATACACATAAGAGTCGAATTGATCAACAAATTTTCTAAAATTACAAACGCGCGCGTGCGCCATTTTTCTTCGCTTTTATATGCCATCCTCCTCACTCCAAAAACTAACTTACAAACTTACTAATTTAACATTAAAAAGTGATAAATGTCTATGAAAACACAAATAACGAATGCAAAAAGGCAGCAACGCGACATGGTACCTTACACATGTGCCTGTTATTTCTTCAGCACTTATTCTATTTTTATGTAAGACGACAGCCAAGAACAGCTAGTATATTTTTATCCCTTTGTTTATCGTAAAGCCTCCCAACATAGCCGCTCACGCGATACATGCAGCCGTAGACGCATACCACATCTAGAGGTGCCGGTGATGATTTTATACCGATTTATCGGATATCGACGTTATAATAGGTAAAAGAACTAATATTAATTGCTATTTCGGTAACTACTCTAGCAAACCATAAAGTTTTCAATGCCTGGGTCTGTCATTTAAAAAAAATAAACAACTTCAAAAATACGTCACGACAATCGTGAGTGTTATTGTTTGGGCTGGTGATTTCGGTGTTTATTTATTGAAAACATACCGTAAGTAGCGTTTTTTAAGTTTACCCTGAATATATATGTTTATAACCTATACTTTAAGGAGTAATTTCATAGTAAACGTTAGAACCACTCAAACGGAATGTTATCATATTTATCCAAGTACACCGAAATTTCATTAGTGCTTTTTAAGTGCAGGATTTGCGGTGTATTCCTGCATTTTATTTGAGATGTTTTTGTTAGTAGTACGGAGGGTATTTATTTAGCAATGCAGAATAATAATTTTTATTTATAAAAACTTGTATTTAAACTGAATGCTTTTCTAATTTGCGAAACCAAATAGCCGCCATTTTGCGGTAGGAGGAGCACATCGCGTGAGCGGTTATACTGCCCCTTCCACAACACCGCGTGTCATATGTCCGAGGTAGGACTTTTAACTATCATGAATTACCGTGCATTTGACGTATAAAACAACTACCGCCAATACTTACCGCAAAGGTCCGATCGATTAGATAAAATATAACAGCTAGAATTCCTACGGCACTCCAATGCACGCCACACAATCTTCGCTGGTCCATTTTGTTTACTGTACCTTAAATTAATGGGTTTCTTTTTGGTGCAAACCTGAAACAAAAGAACACTTTTTGTTAAAAAAAATGCAGAGGAAAGGATGGCGACATCCCGTATAATTTGTGACCCAGTGTTTTTGACGACGTGCATTAAAGAGACCTATCAATACTTGTGATTCATTGTCCTAACATCAAAAAAGCTAATTGAGTACAGCCTGTAAAAGCTGGGTTTATAAAGTTGATATAGGTTATGTTTATGACATTGTCTTGTATTTCACAAGGTCACACTGTTCGCAATCTCAATGTGACATTGACATTGTGAAGAGGCCTCTTGTCAAAACGTTCTTTTACTAACTTCGTTAACTCTCATTTAAATTCATTGACTTACAAATAAATGGACGACGGGTCTTATACAAAAACCACGAAAAAAATGTCCCAAGTCAACCTATTTAAAAGTAGTGACATGTAAAGGAATATGAAAAAGCTAAAACGTTGAATTTAAATTGTAATGTCATCGCAGTACTGTCTAATTTTGCTTGCTTCGCTGTCAGTCGAACAAACGAAGTCTAAAGCGTGAATGACGCTCTGTATACGATTTTGACGCCCTATAAGTTCGGACACTTTTTAGCGCGGATCCGACGTCTATATAATTGTAAGTCAATGGTTAAATTTAACATTTTTGACACGTTGTGTTTTAATTTTTACTTTATGTCATGACTGTTTAGTTGATTATTTGATTAGATATGTATAGCTTTAATGTTTTATGAGTATACTGTAAAATAACCAATACTTTAGGTAGGTAAACATTTAATCATGCTAAAAATGACACGCACGTACAAGAACGTTAGCGACCATAGATTAGGTCAAACTAAATCAATTGCGTTGTGTTCTTGGATTTATTCTAAAATACTTTGTTTTGTAATTTCTTTATTACCGACTTCTAAAAATATATTGACAATTAATTTTAAAGTAAAACGTAAAATTGTACTAGCAAAATTCATTATTGAAAGTTTATAATTATTGAGTCGGCTTTCGCCATCCTTCTTACGTTGGCCATTCAGCGCGGTAATGATCAAAATAAAAAAAAACAAAATTATTTCAAGAAACAATCTCTACAATTTTGTGGCTCGAGAATCATTTTTAAGTAATAAATTATACTTGTGCTAGGGATTCCCGCTCTTTCTTATTCTAAACAAAATCTAAATTTAAGATTGAGTTTAAATAATATGGGCTTTAATTTGTAAAGAAGGACAAAGAAAAGAAAAATTAAAATTAGCAAAAGATGATGAAATATCAAGGAGTAAAATGTGCGAATAGTGAGTGAGTGAGTGTGTGTGTGTGTGTATGTATGTATATATGTAATAGTATGTGGGTGAAGTGTGTTATTTGTGTGTGTGGTGGTGTGTTTGAATGAACAGGATATACGTGGGTTTGCAAGTTTACAATATTTAATTTAATATTCTAACATACAAATATATATAATAAATATACATATACATATATACAATACACATACATATACATATATACAATACACATACATATACATATGCACACACATATATACAACAACAAATGTGTTGGTAACATGTGAGGGATTTTGTGTTAATATTTTAGATACAGAAGATTATTATGATACCAGTGTTTTGGGGACGTTTGAACCAGCTAAGATTCAGAGCGGTCCTTTTTCATTATTATAATTGGATAAAAATGGCTAAGTCTGGCGGATTGCATTCTTGATTTTTATGTAACCAACGTATTGATTACCAGTAAAACTCCTTGTGAAAGTCTCCGTCCAGAATAATGGCAGTATTATCCTTGCCTATTTCTGCCGCCAAGTAGTAATGTCAGCATTACTGCGTTCTGGTTTTGAAGGATAAGGGTGCTGGTTAAATTACAGGCACATGGGACTTGTCAACTTATGTGTCAGGGCGCCTCAGATCTTTGCGATTTAAAGCTCTGAGTGGTAGGCGTGGACGCTTACCATCGGACGCACGACTTGTTCGTCCCGTCGCTTGATATTATAAAAAAAACCATGTGATGAATTGTTAAAAGCCATGGAACAAAAGTTATTGTTTATTATGTTAGTAATATAGTCCTAGTAAGTTGTTATTATTCTACGAATAACCCTCTATGACGCTGGCCCTTGATTTGATAATCAATAGTAATGTTATAAAAAATTATCTCATATACGCAGCTGCCACAATTGCACTAAGGAGAATGGAAACAAAGAACGTTTTTTTTTGCAATTGCAATTAATAGGAATTGCAATTCGCCTGTGTACTGTGACAGATTATGCAAAATTGTGCGACGCCAATTATTATTACATTTGTAATTAGATGTGTCATGACAATGATAATTAAAAAAATTGGCAATTTTTTTTTATGTAACTGATGCATTAAACAAACATTTAGTAGCAGAAGAGCTCCTTGTGAAAGAGTTCGTCCAGAATAGTACTGCCACCTTGCCTATTTCTGACGCCAAGCCATAATGCACGTTACTGCGTTTCGGTTTTGAAGGGTATCTAAAGGTGCTCGTAAAATTACAGGCACATGGGACTTGTCAACTTGTGTCTCAGGGTGACGGGTGCAGTGCCCTCAGATCTTTGTGATTTAAAGCTCTGAGTGGCACTGCAAGCCTCCATTTTGCGGTAGGAGGAGCGCATCGCGTGAGCGGTTATATTACCGCGTTACCCTCTAGGCGATAGCTAAAAATCAGTGCATTGCATTTGGGCAACACCCGCAGCTATGGCCTGTTTAGCTTGCTGCAGCACTCACAACTTGCTTTTAGTTAATTAGCAGATATTTGTTGTTTATTATGAATATTTATTTGATTTCCTACCTTTTTGTTATTTTGTGTGTTTTCTTTTGCGTTTTTTTTGTCTTCTTTTTTTTTTCGTTACTTGTTGTTTCTTATTATTGTGTGTGTTTGTGGAAAGGCAATAAACGTATTCTATCTATCTATTGTAAGTAGTATGCCTTGGACACACACATAGACAACCACAAATTACACCCAAACTCACGAAAGAAACAAATGTAGGGCATACATATATTTCTCTCGGCCAGGGTATCGAACCCGGGACCTCTACGTGGCAGCATGGTAATCGTTCGGCCACGGAGGTAGTTAAGTCATAAGAATCATGCATTAAACATTTTTTTTAAACATACGTGATTTAGAATCGAAAACAAAGTTTCATTTGATGACCTCCGTAGCCCAGAGGCTTGCACACCGATTTTCATGGCGTCCCCATCTATAAGGTCCCGGGTTTGATCGCCGACCGAATCAATGTAGAAATCTAACTTTTCTATATTGTCTCGGGTCTGGGTGCTTATGGTACCGTTCGTTGTTTCTAATTGCCATAACACAAGTACTTTAGTTACTTACTTTGTGATCACAGCAACATATATGTTGATATTTAATTTATATTTTCAATTGCGACAGCCTAAGAACTCGTTAAATTCAAGATTTAACTAAATATGGAACAAATTCCTGACATACACTTTCAACACAGTTAAACTCAAAATTAAAATCTGAAATTAAACTTCCAGATTACAATAATGAGATCGTTTTGCAACGTTAAATGACGAAACGAGTTAATTGTAACTGAACTTTTGTAAGAAAGATTAAAATAACTACGCTTTTAAATGAAGATGGGTTTTATGATCTTACATTTCATTTATAGGTCATGGTACGTGAAAGGTATAAAATATTTTTAGTGTACAACGACGACTAATATTAATAATCCTTATAATAGTGTTAAGTATTTTTTATGGTAGGTACTAAGAGACGGGACGAAGTAGTCGTACGCCTGGTGGTAAGCGACACGCCTATCACAGTTGCAATGTCACGCAGAGCTTTAAATCTCAGAGATCCGAGAGGCACTGCCAGTGGTGTCAGATTAGACGATTTTTTGCCATTTATTCTTCTTCGAGGGGTCGTGCGACTCGTCGATATTATGAAAAGGAGATTTTGAGGCTACTTAATAAAAATGTCTGGGGAATTAAATTCAAATTCAAATTTCTTTATTGCGTATCATGTTGTACAAATGTAGTTGTTAAAAATAATGTTGTGATGAACCAAAACATAAACCCTGCAAGGGCACTGCAATCTTAAAATTATATTAATTTATTAACAAGCAAATAATTTTATAACATTGATCCTTATAGAATTGAAATATAATTTAAATTACAAAATAATTAAATACAATAAAATTTGGCAAATTTGACAAATTAAATAAGTTATAAAATTAAAATTAAATTAGGTATACGAAAAATGATTAAATTTTGTCAAATAATAAACTTTAAATAAAAATTGGAAAAAAAAAAGGATCACAATCGTCAACACAGATAAAATAATAATCTACATTAATTATTTAAATATTCCTGAAGCTTTTAACGTTTTTTTAAATTTGATTACATTTCCTTCTTCCTTAATATTATAATATTAATTCTTTAATCTTAAAAAAATCTTAATATTATTATATTACAAACTTGATTGGGGTTATTGTGGGGAATGGAGTTGTAAACAACACATTTGGGGGTTTGAGTTTTTCAACGTGTAGGAATTGGGGAAATAAGAGAGTTCATATTCGTGCCGGAAAGCAAGCAGAATTGTAGAATTGTTTTCCTTGATTTTTAGGGATTTTATAGCTTGAGCGAACATCGGCTACTTACCACACTTAAATTGGCGAATTAACTTCGCAAAAATCAGGCAACACCGGGCACTGCCACTCCACTCGTCACCCTGAGACATAAATTAACAAGTCCCATGTGCCTGTAATTTTACCAGCTCCCTACCCTTCGAAACCGGATCGCAGTAATGCTCACATTGCTGCACGGATTTTTTCATTAAATTATGAAAACTTTTTATCGATATACCTCATCTCTAGCAAATACAGTATTATGAAGTAAACTTTGCGCGTTGTCGTAAAAAATAAATTAGTTTTTACAAATAAACATTGATTTGGTGTTATTTTAGTTTAATTGAATGTATAAATGTACTAAAACAAAAGCTATTAACATAAAAGCGAGCACGTCATTACCGGGTTATTCTTTG